AGCTCATACAAAGTACTAACACCATAATAAATGTTATAGCCATACTATTTGGCTTTAAGAAAAAAAAAATTTTTTTTTAAATTTTTAATAAAGTACATTTTTTATTCATAAAAAATTACGCGCCATTACTTTCACCGGGGACTGTATATGTTCAGCATGCTTTCATCAAGCTGCAAGAATTAAGGGAATAGGAGAATATGTTAATATTTGTACTGGTATGCCATGTCATCTTCATCCAACAAGTGCATTGTATGGACTTGGGTATAAACCTGATTACATAGTCTATCATGAATTGGTAATGACTTCAAAAGAATATATGCAATGTGTTACTGCTGTAGATCCCTATTGGCTTGCAGAAATGGGGTATGTTGTAATATATTTGTAATTTTTAAAAAATTAAATTAAAATCAATTATTAAAAAATTTTTTATTATTAGACCTATGTTTTATTCAGTCAAAGAAAATAATTTTACACAAAAGGTATTTGAAATATTAGATTTAATTTCTTTTTAAAACCTCTTTCCCTCAAAAAAATAATAAAATTATTATTATTATTATTACAGGAAAAACGGGCTGCAAACAAAGCAGAAATGGCCAAAATGACAAAGGAAATGAAAATTAAGAAGGCACGAGAGGAAGAGGAAGATGAAGAAAAATTACAAATACAAGCAGTAAGGTCACCCAAAAAACCAAAAATATTTATGCCAGGCCGTAATGCTAAAACTTCATTAGGCAAAAAAGGATTAGGTATTTAAAGATGATTATTACCATAGATTTTCTAACCCAAAAATAGACAATATTTATTTATTTTAATGTTTTACCTAATAATTGTAAATAAATTTTAATTGAGGGAATTGCACATAGTAGAACCTTTGTGTGATATACTTTTGTTTTACTGGATAAATTAGAAAATACTCAAAGATGGTTCACTTGTTTTTATTACTAGATAAATAGATTTGTTTTGAATTTATTAAAACAAAATTTGTTTGAAAAATTTGGGTGTTTTAAAATATTTATCATTGTTTTTGCATAATTGTTTACTTTTATCCATGATTTTAATTTATTAGAGCAGCTTCAACTATCTTTTGCATTAAATTGACAAGTAGTCAATACATGTAAATAAAATAATATTGATTCGTGAATAGTTGGCTATAAAATTTCTGATCAACTGGTTAGTACTTTTGATCTCTAGTAAAAATCTCAATAAAGTTGCACCAAAAGACAATAATATTTTTTTATCAACATGGGAAATGTTTATCCATTGCGTCCTCTTTGCTCTGATTTCCCCATTAGCAATGCTTATAGGTTAGACAATGTGTTCGAACAAGAACTTGAGAAAAAATTATATGATACTCTCAAGGCTGCACCTGAGCTTAACAATGGCAACAAGAACTTGTGCAGAATATGTTAAGAAGTTAAAGGTGACCAGAAGTGATCCAACAATGAATTACCAATCACATATGGTCAGAGGCTAGCAGAAATCATTCAAAACATTAAAAGATGTTCATCAAAAAAGAACTCTTGCGTATTTAGGATCAGGATACCGTTTCAAGAAAGGCAACTATATTGATATCTAGATAGCTAAATACAAAATTGCCAGGGGAGGAAGCCATATTAAAACCCCAAAGGCAATAGCAAATAAGGCAACCAATAAATCCAATGCTGATAGACTCATAGAAGGTAAACAAACGCATTTAGAGCACTTATCGATTCTTAAAAATTATACTCATCTAGTAAATTTTGAAAGCATTCTAGATGGAAAGCCAGTCCCAGTAAGCAAAAACGTTTTTGAAAAGCTTGAAAAGTTAAACCACAGAATACTATTTTAATGTATATGACTGGGATGATAAAGAAGGAATGCAACCAATCATAATATCGAAGTTAATCTTATGGTTCTAACTGAAGAGACCATAGGTGGAAAAGAATGAACCCATTACCTATGGTTAAAAGATCCAAGTAAGCTCATATTTACCAACACTAAGGACAATAAAAAGAAGCATTTATGTAGCTGATGTAGGCAATACTTCACATCAGAAAAAGTACTTAAAAAGCATCAAAAGTATTGCTATGCCCATACAGAATGCGGTGTTTTTACCTCTACATACTCTACCATTTCCTGCACCTCTAGAAGCTCTCCTGCATCGAATGGGTCCTTGCTATTGTTTAAGAAATTTGCTATTGCTTGTTTTATATATGTATACATTTTTATTGTTTTTTATATACTATCATGTTATCTTTAATTGGAAAATTTTATTCCTTTACTTATTTTATTGTAATTATTTGTTTGTCTATTTCAACTTCTGATAGCATTTCAGAGATGACATTGGATATCATTATATGTTGTTTTTTGGAAGATGTCTGAAAATTGATTAATGGATATCAAGGAGCTTGAATGCTGTAAAATGGTATCAAAAATGTATCAAAAATCGGTAAAAAATTTGCCATTGTCCCAGAACCAGCAATTTGATACAACACTCAGCCATTTTAACGTAATGGACCATATGAAGAGGTTAATGGTGGTGTTCATGTGTTATCTTCTTGTTTTAAATAATACAAAAATTAATTCTTTTAAGTTCGACCTTGCATTCTATTTAGACTTGGCAGATACAAGTCTTGGAGTAACTACAACATCAAAAGCAGTAGATCGTAAAAAGAAGCAAGTTGCAGATGAACATGAGAAATGCACTTACAAAATATTCAAAAAATACATTCTTGTTGAATGTTGACAATTATCATAGATTCACGTCCAGTGACAATCAGTATCCTTTAATTACTAAAACTTTGTTACTTCTAGGAAACCGTCTACAAAAATTTTTTGCAATTACATATAATGTGATTACACTGACTATACTAATTTGAATAATTGTAGTGCACCCATGTTATCACAATCATTGTCTACAAAGGCGTCAATCTAAATGTTTGATATCTTGGAATATCTCCAAGTCGAAATCAAAAAAAATGTCAACACACTAAAAGAAAATACGATGAAAAATATTAAATGAAAATGAATTTATCAAAAATAACGAAAATACAATTGATGATGATCTGGGCAATGTTGAATCAGCAACAGATGACAGCAACAATGGAAATTTTATTAGAACATGAAAAAAA